AAAGCTTCAATTCCAACTTGCATCTTTTAGTAACTCCATTAATTAGTCTGTAGGAAATCAGGCTTGATTACTTTCAGTGCTCACAAAACTACTTGTGTTTTTTCTGGAACACAGACAGGCAAATTGCTGAGATGACAAATATATCTGACATGTCTTCCAAGAATCTCTCTCTCCCTTGCATGAGTGCTTGAATCCCTTCATTTCCCAAATGTATGCTTGTTTGACAGTTTTATAACTAACAGGTGTTTTATGTAGATTTTTTGGTGCCTCAAACTTTTTAAGAAAATGAAAAAGGGTCTGTCTTTATCTGGTCTACACCGATTGACATTATCTTAAACCATCTTCAAATTTCTTTCCATTCACCTCCATAACTCTTTCCACAGGCCGGCCTCCAAGTTTTCTTCATATCTCTCTGGTTATCTATTAAAGAACTGTCACTTGGTCAGACTCTTTTTAATGTGTTATGTATCTCTACAAATTTTTCATCGGTGATGGGGAGCTCTTAAAAAATTTCATATCCGTAGATTTCTGTATAACATGAACTTGCTGTTTTCACTCGCTCCACACACATCCTTTAGACACAGTCCAAATATTCCTCTCCTCCACATCTAGAGATTACAGATCGTACAGTTTTAGCGCATCAGACTTGGGATCCTGAAATGTCAGGGTTGGATGACTTATGCATTAGAAAATATTTGAGTTACAAATCTAACTAAAAACAAATGTAAGTTTGAAACAGTAGATAGCTCCGATCTCCCAAAAAGGAGCAGAAGTCTGCTGTTGTGGAAGCCTTAATAGGAAAAGATTCCCAGTTAGATGTACAGAGTACACTTAACGACCATATTAGACGTTGAGGAATTAGTTACCAAGTTATGGAGAAGACAAGAGCCCTGGGGAGTTTCAAAGAAGTCCATTATAAAATTTGGATAGCAGGTTTCTGTGAAGAGCCTAGGTCAGCCCTTGTGACCCAGAGGAAAATGGTACAGAAAATGTGTCTGTGAGATTTCACTCCCAGCCCATGAACAACCACAGCTTTTTTTCCCCCCTCTTACACTTGGTTGACAATCTGGCCTCACAAAGGAGAAAATCTTTCGAGATCTTTTGGCATTGTACTTTGGAAAATGAGGTCTTTGCTGGTTTGACTGTCACTCGTGTTGAGTGGTGTACATTGAAGTCACAAGTATCAGTCAGCACGCTGAAATTTCAGTGAGATAGAAAACACAGTAAAAATTGTAAAATAATAATTGTAATTGTAAAAAAATCAGAGTCATTTATTCATTACTAACACCTATTCAAGTTCAATAAATAAATGGGTTTTGGGGTTAATGTTGTCTTCATTTAAAGCATTACAGTTCACAGAAACATCTGACCCTATCCAAGTACAGCATAGCCTTTAAGAAGCAACCAAGAAGACAGGAATCAGATTTGTGATATTTCTAAGCATATTTCAGGCTTTTGCTGCAGAACATGAGAGCTAGTTTTTTTTTTTTAAAAAAAGGTCCCTTTCAAGTCATTATTGCAAAAGGAAGTGTTGTCACTTCATCTACTGTTTCCAAACTGTTATGCAAGCCTTGGAGAACATATTTTTTTAATCTCTCATTATATTCATGTATATTCAGCTTTCTGCAGGTCTCTAACACTCAAAGGTGCAGCTAAGTATCCAATGGTATATTTAAAACCAACTGTTAATCTAACTCTTTATCACACTACTCTGAATCACCAGTGTGACTCTCCATGAGTAACTTCCTCAGGTGCTTAAATATCCTCAGACACTTGACCCTACAGCCATGATTCTGCAAAACATGCCCAACACACCCTCAGCTTTAGGAATGTAAGAAATCCCACCCTGCTCAGCCAAAAAATTGAATAATACCCCAAACCTAACTTGCAATCTCAGTTGGAATACAGTATTTTATTTGGACATCTTCTGTTCATGAAGAGTGTGGCATGCAAAGCTTTATTCCCATGTCTGTATGGATCCTAATTTTCCAGGGTTAAAACCTGAATCAGGTTTTTCCTTTAGTGAGGACAAGCTGCAAAGAGCAGACGACCTTCATTAAAAAGGAAATCTATAAATCCTATAGTCCTCACCTCTGTTAACTACATTGTTTGAGGTCAAAGCTGTTAACTGTGGCCTTTAAAAGGTATGTGTAAATGCAACCTTTATCCCCAAAAAACTTTGAAAATGTGCATAAACAATAACATTTTCTGATAAATGCTATGCTGTTTTACTAGATGTATGTGCTAAAGGCAAGAACTACTTGCAATAATGAAATGCATGGGCTTGATTCTTTAATTACCTGAGTGACCCCATTACCTCCAGTGCTTTAAGGAAATTGCTGCAGGAGCAGGATCAGGCCCTTAATGGTTTGCCAGCTCCATTCTGACATTATACCCAGACAACAGTCACTGAAATTTATATTTAGTTCCATAAGAACAGTGCATTAGATATCCTTAAGTGTTTTATGAGGCAGGACTTTTCTGACTATTCTGACAGAACCACCAGTACGTGCAGAAACCGGAGCTGTGAACAAATATTGCAGTTATGATTTACAGCACAATTGCCAGAGTCTTCCCTGGCTTCATCTCTGATGGCTACTTACTCAGGCTGTCATTTTTAGCTCCACAGATTATATCTGTCTTGGCCTCTTCCACAAACACTGGATTCACTGGAGTGTGCTGCAGACAATACAGCTCTCAAACAATGAAGCATTTGTGTTCATTTTCTCCTATTTTATCTTTGGAATTCTACTATTTAGGTCACTATCTGTTGCTTCCAGCTATTCTTTCCTGAAAAATTGTAGCTCTTTTTAGGCTTAAAAAGATAAAATCAATGAATTCATCTATGTTATTCCTCTGGGTATAAAGGTCTAGATGTAATAAGTGGTACACATAGTATAAGATTACATTGCTATTCCTGAACTGCAGCCCCAAGATTAATTGTGCCTTATAGGCCAAAATTTGAAGAGCTGCTGGGTGCTGGCCTCTCTGAAAATCTGATACAACTAACACAATAAACCCCCAGTATTACTAAATTTCTCAAATGCTTTAAAGGTGATCCCTCACCAGCATGAACAGGAAGGGTGTGAATGTGTGTTTATATTCCACAACACAGAATTTTAGATACAGATAAGAAGAATAAAGATGAACAGATCCTGATCTTATCTGCCTTTCCTATAAGAAAAAAAATCCACCACAGGTTTTACTTGGGAAAGGTATTACTTGGATTTTAGTGAGCAACATCACTTGTGAAATCCATCAATATCTGTGGAATAAAAATTATACTTTACTCAGGTATGAGGACATACAGGAATTCCATTTACATTTAAACTTAAGCTCACTGATTGCTCACGTAAAAAACTGCTATGCTCTGAATGAAAAGAAGATGAGTGCTTAAGCAAACAGTCATAAATTAATTTATAATGAAACATGACAGCCATAATTTAATTTAGAGTGTATTTAAGATTGTTGTTACTATTTGGACAGGTCTTTTTTGCCTGGAGGAAGATCTGGCTTCATAGTGAAATGTCAGCTACTGAAATACTAAACTTCTTAAGCGTACACGTGTATTAATTAATTAAAATTATGTAGATTCTTTCCTAATGAAGATCTGTTGCCTACTGCAAGCAGTCAGACAAAAGACTGCATGATTGAGGCATTATCAGTGGGTCATCAGGAACTCACCAGGAAGCACGAGGGCTGCTGAGCATAACCTGTAAAATCTGTAGGGTGGTGAAGCTGCTGCTCAACTTCCTTTCTCAGCGGTGAGGGGAGAGAGCAAGTCAAGTCACAAAAAGAAGTGATTCTATTCAGTTTGTTAACTGAGAGATGGTATGCTAGGGCATTTGGGAATAGTCAGGCTGTGACCAAAAATATCTTGGTGGTTTGTCTCACCATGAGGTAAGACACCATGCTCTCAAGAACTTGTGATTTCTATTTGGAAAGTAACGTTTAATAAAAACCAAATTACAGGCCTTTGAAGTTTAATACCTACGTTAAAAATAGGTACTTATAAAAAGTAAAATAAAAAACAAAGTTCCTCTGCCATGATTAGATTAATAAGGGCGGGCAACGGATGCATTTGCCTCACTGACAAAACTGATGTGTTTCACACTGATCAGCTAAGAGATTCTTTAAATATGGTTAAGCAGCACAGAGGAAGTATGTGGGTTAGTAAGAAGTGACAGTAATTGGTTAAAATGGAGTTTGTGTCTTTCTCCAGTTGGAAAATCTGCAAAGGGTCCTTTCCGTACCCCTTATGGAAAGATCATTCCCCTTGTTATACATTGAACTCTCTTGCTAAAAAAAGACTCTCCAACACCTACAACAGTTCCTTCCTTTCTACTTAGCTCATCTTCTCCAGTCATAAGTATAATTAACCAAATTACCCTTGAAAAGAAAAATTACCCTGATTTCTTTACAGAATTATTTCTAGAGAAATATCCCGGGGAGGGAAGGGTTGCTAAGCTGAACACTGTCCTAGCAAAAGCCTCATTTTTATCTTTCTCAATAACATTTGACATTCTTGTGCATCAGTACCTTAAAAGACAGTTTTATAACTCTCATATTTAATACTGATAGTAGAAGCCTCTTCTTACTGCCATTTTCTTGGCTAATAGTGCATCTGGCAAGTTACCTGACAGTTCAGATTCTCCTAGAACACCACAAAGACAAGCATATCCCTCAATTACACAGAGCAAACTACATCTTCAGGATAAAATTTTTGCGATGGCCACTATTTGGGGATTACATTTATCTGTCATATGGACTGCACACTAGACAGTTGTGTGTTGAACTAGTTCCTCCAGAAAGGAGTTTTAATTTAAATAAATTAAAGGAAGCACTTTGTCACCAGTGTAAGTAGAAAATTGGGGCATGGAATAATTAGGGAAATTACCAAATGAGGACATTCAGGTAAAGTTCATATGGCATTCCCATTTCACTCCCTTTTACCAGTTTCTGTAGTATAGTATTTTCCAGAACAGATTAGAAAAATTTAAAAAAAAAAAAAGTTTAATGATGACTTACAAATATACAATACTTACATTTTCAAGAGTTACAAAAATGGCACATGCTACAGAAACCAAAAGCTTCCTCCAACCTTTGGTACATTTTATAGTCATTTATTTACAAAGAAAAATTACAGTCACTTTTCATAGTGTCACATGTTTACATATAAGCATTTCTCAGTTGAAAAATATCTTGCAGCTTACCCAGAGGCAGTTTTTGCAGTTTGATCTCTACACCCATCTATCACATCAAAAATTCTATCAGCCCCTGTTAAGCTGACATGACATTGCATTTTTATGTTTCAACAGCCTTTAGTCTGAAAAGATGTACAACCCATAAGGCTAAACCGATGCATAGTTGTTGAGATCTCACCTGATTTATTATATATTGCTCATGGTTTGGTAAAATGACACAGGCTACCCTTTTTAATTAGCTTGGTGATGCGTGTTTAGAAAAGGGTGTTCCAATTTTGCCAGGGTATTTCCAACTCTTCATGAAAGGAACTTAAAAAAATACAACATGTCCTTTGCAGGATGCTTTTTCACCTTATGAAACTTTTATATTAAATTTTTCCTTCTCTGTGTACATTTCTTACCTCAGGTAACAGAGATAAACTGAGCTTTCCAAAGCCTGTTCATTTCCATTAGTTTTCCAATTGTTGGATGTTTCCTAGACTGTACTTTATTTCAACCAAAACTTAAAAATTGTCTTCTACCTGAGAGCAAACTTCATTTTTTATTTCCTAGTCTGTGTGTACTTGGGGGTCTTCTTAAAGATTAGAATACTTGCAATAACACAGCCAAAATACAGTCTGTTTTTGACACCTTCATTATATGTGTACACCAATGCTCTCATGATTTTCAGACTATGCAATTTCAATATGTAACAGTACATGAACTCAACATAATCTTGCTGAAGGTAGTTTGGGACTACACATTCACAACTTATAGTTTTTAATTAAGCCTAATACCACCAGAGTATTAGTTATGGTTCAGGTCCAGATTTTTTTACATTGAGAAACAGAAAAAAACTTGCCATCAATAGATGTGAATGGAGTTTTAAAAGTGTCTTCCAGCATTACAGTATTTCCCTCCCACAAACTTACTCCACAGAAAAAAATAAACTCCAAATTCAAGCATCTTTAAAGAATGCCTGTGTTCTGGATTTTCTTCGTGCAAGAGCTTCTTGTTTTTTTCTTTCAATCTCTTCTTGAGAGCATTTTCTATTTTTCTGTTCCACCACAGACACTGTAAATAAAAAACATGTATTAGGTTTGTTCAATATGTATTTTAACTTATCTGTTTTCAGTGTTTGAAGATCTATGGCAGGAGCACACTATTCTGACATTCTGGGCACCCACGTTAAAAATGGCTCATCTATCCTGTCCCCCAGGCAGGAAGGGGGATAAAATGCATGACCTTTGTAGTGCTACTGATTACTACCTCCCAATGAAAACACTGGGATGCAGACATTTGCTTCAAGGAAATTTTACTTGGCTGCCCTTCAAGTGAACCTTATGACATCAGGAGTCAACATAGGAGATGGTGATGGGTTAAGAAAATTAAGGCTATCAGAGTGAAAAGGGCTCTACAATTTAGTGAGTTAGGCAGAGATATGGGCATGGAGATGGTAGAGACACAGGGGTCAGATACAGTACAGGTGTCACACAAATAAAACAAGGAAGGTTGAAAAAAGGTCAAAAGTAGCAATAAAAATTGGCAAAAGAGACAAGAACATGATAGCTGAGCATAGCATTCTATATGTTGTGTTACAGAACTATAAATTCCCATGCTATAAAATCCTGACCTCACCGGAACCAACAGGAACCCTCCCTGCATATATCAATAATTTTACCATTTTTATTCACCAATTTCCAATTAATGTATTTTTAATAAGTGTTCAAACCATATAAATAAAACAAAGGGTCTCTTTGTTTCTCACAAAAAAGGTGTCTGCGAAAAATTAAACATCAGTTTTTGAAAGGCTCACGCCATCTTTTTGTTACAAAAAACTCACTCAAAATTCAAGATGAGGACAGTTGTTGTTTATCTGTAAAGAAAATCTATGCTATTATTTTTATTCCTTTATTCTCTAGAACACTCCACAGAATAACTAGTTATCTCCCTCCTCCCCTTCCCATTAACATCCAAAATTGCTACTTTCCATTTATCTGCTTCTTTGCTGGGGAAAAAAACACAAATAAAATACTGATTCTTTGATAAAACTGGCTGACAGTTTACAGGAATTGTTTTGTTGTTTTTGTAAAAGTGTTTTCTGAAAAGGGGGGTTGATATAGGACACTCTAAAAGGTGTGTTTTATCAAAATTAATACCGATTAAAACTTTACCAAGCTGTGAGAGCAAGTGAAAACAAGACTGACCGGAACTTGATCAGTTCTACATTTCCCTAGCAAGTAAGCCCAGTGCATGGAATATTCCTGACTGTCACTTGATGATGAAGAAGTGCCTGATCTCCCCTCTGGATGAAAAGGAAATGTTAGTGTTTAGACTGGTAAGACAAGAATATTTTGCGGGCAATTTCAGCCAGAGAGCAAACAACGATACAGGCTGAGGTTCGAAAAGCACCAAGTGATTTGAGGGTCCAAATTCCAGGCGTACAATAATATAAAAAACCTGGCATTTCATATCACCTGGTGCCTTCTCTCCCTGCCCCACCATTAACTGGGGTTTTACTATGTATCAAAATAACAGTATTTTTAAATAACAATTTAAGAACACCGTAGGCTTAGTACTGCATCAGGCTGCACTTGAGCCTAGTGATTCTGAGTGTCTGTGGAGAGAGGGTCTGAAGTACTTAGGGAAGTGGAATGAAAATAGGCAGGGATTCAAGATATGGGTCAGGACAATTTTATTTTGGAGAAAATAACCTCCAAATTCTCACTAGAACATTTGCTAACACCTACAAGAATGGATGAATATTGAAGCCTGTTGTAAGTTGCAATAAAGTACAAATCTCTCTGACATTCTGACTACAGTAAGGAAACAAACAGTAACAGTCTGAGAGTGATACAATAAAGACAAATACCTGATGAAGGCTGTGCAAAAGACTCTGAAAAGTGCCTCTTGAAAGGTGATTTCTTATTGTCAAGCTTGCTGTGCAAAGTCATGTTCACCTGATTCTTGGTTCCTTCCAAACCCTGCAGAGTAATTCCAATGCCAGAATGATTCCCTGAATTTTCACACCCTACATGAAGACCACCCTTAGAATTGTTAATCTTTCGGAACTTAAACTTTGAAGGTACGAGTGATGTTTTGTTACTAGAAGCGCTACTTGGTATCTTTCCTGTATTATACAAGAGACCTGGGCTGTCTAATGTTTTGTTGCTAAAAATGTTTACTGCATCAACAGGACTTACTTCAGAAGCAGCGTCTCCTGCTGGCACAGAATTTGACCTGTACCATTTCCCCAAAACAGTCTTTGTAGTATCTTCAGAAGCATCCTGATGACAGTTTTTTGTCAGTGTGTATTTGCCCTCTGTAGAAACATCTGAGATCACAGTTCGAGGACTTGAGGTGCTCTTACAGTTCACTGCATGACCTGTTGTGGCCAACCCATGTATAACCTTTGATGAATTCCTACAGGAATCACTCAGAGAGAGAGCCTCCTGTTTTGCATTTGTCTTTTGTGCCAAGAGGCAATGTCCTTGTTTAGAGGCTAGGAAGCTCTTATCAGCATTTGATCTGGAATTACTACTTGCTCCTTGTATAGTTTTAGTTCTTTCATTTCCTTGTTTAGCATCTTGGCTCTGAGTCTGCTTTTCTATATCATCACACACCTGATACAACAATTCATCATCCTCAAAGTTAGCATCCCAAAGGCTATCGGATCCACAAAACATATCTAATACCTCATCAGAGAATTTTGGTTCATTCCATTCGTGAAATGGCACAGGACATTTCTTTGGTATTTCAAACACTTTAGTTAGATCATTAGGTTTCATACTGGTAGAAACACTGGGTGATTGACAGGAAATAGCATGGGTGGTATTTCCAGGTTTTTCTGTCCGTTGTCTATGAGGATTAGATCTTGAAGGAAAAAGAGGGTCACTTTTAGGCTGAGTAGTTTCATTTCCATTCTTCACTTCAGATTGCACTGGAACAGAAATACAGTTCAAATCACTGTTTCGAGCACTTTTCCAAATGGAATTTATTTTATCTGGCTTAACATCACATTTGCCATGCAAGGCTGTGGTCTCTGAGTTTTCTGTCTTACATGGCTTTTGTAAAGACAGAGATTTTACAACATTTTGTATGTTTTTACTAGAATGTTTCAAAGGTGAATACTGCAAACTGTTAGATTTGTTTACACTCCCCAAACAAGTTACCAAATTGCCACTACTTCTTTGCTTTGTTCTGCTAGCATCACTGAAACCATAGCCAGGTGGATTTGCAGGAATTGGTGGTGGTTCTTCAGTACTTATCAATTCAGGATTTTGGGTTATTTGCATCATAAAAGAGTCATCTGCCAAAAAATCTGTATCCCAATCATCAAAGTCATCATTAACTACTCCAGCCAGCTTAGTGGAGGCCACCAATTGTGTCTTCAAAGAAGGAGGATTTTTTTTTGTAGTATCAGGTTTTGGTACCGTCTGGTTCACGCTCCCCACTGCACCTTTTTCTTGTGCCTCTGAATTACCACATTGCATGTCTTCAGTTTCCTCAGGAAGCTGCTCCTCCTCCAAGGTACTTTTGTTTTTATGAAAACTGTTATTTAAAGAAATATCTGACAGTCCTTGGCTCAGCTGCCCACTACACTTCTGGGTAGAACAGTCAAAAAGAGCATGAAGGGCTATTTCAGACTCAAGGTCTACAGACTTTTGACTGCTGGACCGACAGGGCCCTGCAGCAGGAATGCCAGTGCTCTGTCCAACTGGTTTCAGGGACAGAGCAGTATCTGTTTCAGAACCTTCACCAAGGAGTGGTATCTCATTCTTCATCTTTACTTCATCTTTAGAATTATTCAAAGGCTCTGAGGTGCTCTGGATGAAGTTATGACCAAGCTTCTCCTGCTCCTGAACAGCATCTAGCTCTACTAGGTTTCTATCAAATTCCTTAGCCAATTTCATGAGTTCCTCTTCGGGAATTGTTATCTTAAGATCCCTGGATAAAAAAAAAAAAACAAAAAAAAAACAAAATAGAAAGTCAGAGCTACTGAGAGAGTTTAGCTAGGCTCAATAACATGACCATGTGAGCTGTTCAATCTTTAGTTTAACAACTACAGAGAAGATGACCGAATCCCACAATGTGCAGTCAACATGCAATCATTTTGATAGAAATACCCCATTAAGAAGAGATAACAAGCCCAAAGCATTCTATATGCTAATGTACAATTACATGGCTCACTATATATAAAAGACCACAAATCTTTTTTCATGAAAACCCAGCTATGATGGGCAAGAAAAAACTGTAACTCACCTTGTACAACTTAACTTTGTCCTAGATCGCACTTTCACTACTCCAGGTGTATAGGGAATAGCATCCTCACCAATCCATGTTCCTAAAATGGAGCCTTCACTACAGGCTGATTTTTCATCCTGAATGATTAGATTTATAATGCTTAGAAATGTGATGTCAGATAAAGATTGGACTAGACACACACCTTGCGTGAGTTAAAGTTGCTAAACCAAGTAAACATATGAAACCTGTTGAAAGCCTCAGATAGGAGCTAAAGCAATACAAGTTAAAACTGAGGTTAAACTTCAATTATATTGTTTTAAAACAGGAACTTCAATTAAAATAAATGAATTTTACTTTGGTGCTCAAATCTAATACTCTATTTACATCAGGCTCACACGTATTCTGCAATATTCACGTTACAAGCTGTGATCTAGTTTACTTCAGTATATAAAACTAAGGAGCTGCCTGAGAGGCACCGACTTTATCCACTTAAAGCAGCATTAACAGATTAGAGAATTTAAAAGAAATCACATTCTGTATGCTACCAGAAAAAAAATTATGACTTCTTCCATTACAACTCATTTACACAAAAAGCCTTCAAACTGAAGTAAGTGACGTTTAGAAACGAAACAAAGTTGTTTTAGAACTTCAAAGTTCAGGCTCGAATTTAAATTCTGAAGTCTAAGAGATATAATAGTGCACTGGTAAATTGTCTACAGCAGCAGAGCAAGAGGATGTGGGAAATTACTGCATGAAAGCCAGAAAAATAAATTTGAACTTTACTACTAGGGTAGTTTGGGGTAGGTTTTCTTATTCTTTGTAAAATTAATTTTTAAAATTTATTTTTGTTTAAGAAAAACAGAACATGAGCAACAGATAGTTGTAAACCCTGATATTATTTACATTTATCGCAGGGCTGTAACCATTTACAGGAAAGGTAGTGGCATCCCTTACCAATGGTTTTCCAGTTCTTAAGTATAATTTCTCACAAATATGCCAAACAGTGAATACAATTTAAATAGGCCTGTCAAATAAGCAGGCATGTTTTGCAAGCTAAATACTACACATCCATTTTAGGAATTACATGTTCTCTTCTTGCACTTAAAATGCAACAATAAGAAAACACTTTTATTTTCACTTTCTAGGCTGTGGACATCAGGTTCAGGGCAAGAGGGAAAGGGCAGGGATCCTAGGGCAAAAAGGCAAATTATTTAGAGTATCAAAGCAAGGTTACTCTGTTTATATTACTGCAGAGTATCTCTCTCATCCCAATCCTGTTTTTGTACTTCAGCAGTCAATCAGGACCATTCAAAATGCTTAAAAACAACTGTCAAGTAAATCCAGTATGTGAAAAACTCTTACCTTTGAATAGATGAGTGATTAAGGATAAATAAACAAAACAGTATTCCTAAAACCAGGGGCAATAACTTGCATTCTGACAGTAAACCTTTCTAAAATGGAGCTGCTGCAAGTCTACTTTCTTAATGCATTTTTTTTTACAGTATCTGTGACTCACAGAGCAACCAGTCAATGCTACACTTACAATTCTAATTCAATCCAGTTTTATGAACACGCTACTAATTTTCTACACACCCAACTCTTACCATGAAACTACTGTAACTAAAACTGAGGCTTAGGCTGAAGCACTGCTCTGTTTGATTACTGCATATGCAGAGAATTGGTTAAGAAAGTAACAATTACCTGAGGAGCAATACGATTAACAATTTCCGAAATTTCTACTGCACACCCACTGGTGGACTGTTTGGTTTTTCCACTGCCTATGAAAACAAACAAGCAAACAAACTTCTCAAAAATTGCAAACCAATTCAATTTATGAAGAGCAGAACATCTCAATTCAAAACTATGTGTTAAAATCAGAGCTTGATTCAGTACTATATTGAAGAATTTATGGGTTTTTAATAAAAATAAAACCAAACAACTTAGCCATTATAAGAGAAAGGGGCCTTTTTCCAAGAAATCTTTGGTAACTTTTAGTACACTCACACTGCATGCCTCAAACAGGTGTCCTGAAGCCTGGATTTTGATCTTACCTAGTCTGTGTGCAACTGGTGAATGAGAATCCCAAAAGATTTCTTGCTGTGTATCAGTGTCATTAACAGGAGAGCTGAAAGTAGGTATTCGGGATTTCCTACTCAAGGACCTCTTTGGAGTTTTATGTAAACATGACTCTGTGTAAATAGAAAGAGGATACTTGTTAAAAAACAACAAATAAAAGGCCCAAATCACTTAGAACATACAACAGGTCAAGGCATAAGAAGATCTTTTAGGAAATTCAAGAATAAAAATAAACTTTACACTCATCAGCACTATTTACTCACAACACAAATATTGTTCACACCTAGACATTTAATGTAGAATAGGACTCTTAGCTTTGCCAGTTACATCATCACAGATATAACATGATCCTGACAGCTACACACTCAGCATCTGATGGTAAGGATGGGAACTGTCAATCCTTCTACTTGAGAGAATATTCAGCTTACTTTAAGAGAAAGAACTATGTATACCTACATAAGAAAACATTTTATATTCTTGCTTGCTTTGGATCTTTCACCCAGACTGATTTGAGCTACAACTTTAATGGGCCTCCAAACTGCTCTGGGTCATAACCTACCTTCGTCTATACTTCCTCCCCTGGGCCTTTCCAGCTTGGACTGTTAGAAGCAGCAATATAGCTATTCAAAACCTGCTTGCAGCTGCCTCTGATCAGTAAGTGAACTGAACACACTATGCGAAGCTCAGCTGGTCACCCCTGCCCTTTAGAAATGGTGTTACAGATGTGAAAGCCTACAGAAATAATTTAAAAGATGCAATTACTATGCAAGAAGCGTCTTAGGAGATGTTTTACACTGAAGTGCCCAGCGTGGCCAGGTTTTATCCTCTCCTAGAGTGGATCAACAGCCTCAGTTACTTCTTAGTGTCTCAGTGCCATGGGAATCACAGAATCATTGAATGGGACAGGCTGGAAGAGACCACAGTACGTCATCTGGTCCAACCTCTCTGCTCAAGCAGGGCCATCCCAGAGCACACTGCACAGGATTGCATCCAGATGGTTCTGGAGTATCTCCAGTGTGGGAGACTCCACAACCTCTCTGGGAAACCTGTCCAGTGCTGTCATCTGCACAGTGAAGTTTTTTTTCATATTCAGGTGGAGCTTCCTGTTCATCAGTTTCTCCCTGTTGCCTCTTGTCCTATTGCTTGTGACCACCAAGCAGAACCTGGACCATCCTCTTGACACCCCTGCTTTAGATATTTATACACATTAATGAGATCCCTTTTCAGTGGTCTCAACGCTGAACAGGCCCAACTCCCTCATGAGAGAGATGCTCCAGACCTTTGACCAACTTGGTGCCCCTTCTGCTGGACCTGCTCCAGGAGCTACACATCTCTCTTGTCCTGAGGAGCCTAGAACTGGACACAGCACTCCAGATGTGCCTCACCAGGGCTGAATAAAGGTGCAGGATCATCCCCCTCGACCTGCTGATAGCGCTCTTCCCAGTGCACCCCAGGGCACACCGCTCTGGACAAGAACAGCCCCTTCCCAGGGCACAGGGGCGGGGGAGGAACGGGGGTTTCACATCGCGCCGGCCCCTCCTCACGGCACGGCCGCGCCCCCAGGGCCGGCGGGCAGCGCCGGAGCCCGCAGGGGCCGCTCCCGCCGTACCTGCAGCGCGGGGCGCGCACGCCGCCTCCGCCGCGGGCAGGCCTCGGCCCGCGCCGCCCTCCGCCGCCTCTTCCTCCTCCTCCTCCGCCCGCCGCCGGCTGAGCTGCTCCTCGCCGCCGCTGCGCCTCCTCAGGGCGGCGGCGGGCCTGAGACAGAGCCCCCTGCGCCGGCTACCGGGCATGGCGCTCGCTGCGGCGGCGCCACCGCGTCCCTCCCGCCACTGCCGCCGCCGGCACCGCCGCCATTTTCCCGGGCTGCCCCGCCGCCGCTGCTGATTGGCCGCCGCCGCGCCGCCTCGAGCGCCCATTGGCTCCGCGCGGCGGAGGGGAGCCGGACGCGAAGGAGAACTGCGGCCCCGCCTCCCCGCCCGCCGTGAGACGTGCGCGGGTCTCCCCGCCCGGGGACGGGGGTACATCGTTCACTCCCATAGTCCAGGGAAATAAAAGCTCAGTCCGCCGCGGCATTAGGGGTAGAGCGTGTCCTCCGGTGAGCCTCGGCCGTCGGCTTGTCCTGAGGTGCCCCGAGTTTTGCCATTGGCAAATTTTGCCATTTTGCCATTAGCAGATTCGCGGGGGACACCCGGTTGGGTGGGACTCTGGATCTGCTGGAGGACAGGAAGGCTCTGCTGAGAGGTCTGGCCAGGGTGGATCGATGGACTGAGGCCAATGGCGTGAAGTTCCACAAGGCCAACACTTTACCCCACAGCGTCCACCTGCAGTGCTACAGGCTCGGGCAAGGGTGGCTGGAAAGTGGCCCAGAGGGAAAGGACCTGGGGGTGATGGTTGACAGCAGCTGAACATGATGCAGTGTGTGCCCAGGAGACCAAAAAGGCCAATGGCATCCTGGCCTATATCAGAAATAGAGTGGCCAGCGGGACCAGGGAAGTGATTCTTCCCCTGTACTCGGCATTGGGGAGGCCACACCTCGAATACTGTGTCCAGTCCTGGGCTCCTTGCTTGAGGAAGGAGGTGCTAGAATGAGTCCAAAGAAGGGCAATGAGGCTGGTGAAGAAGGATCTATGAAACGATTCTTATTAAGAACAGCTGAGGGAGGTGGGGGTGTTTAATCTGGAGAAGAGGAGGCTCAGGTGGTGACCTTATCACTTACTACAACTGCCTGAGGGGAGGTTGTAGCCAAGTGGGGATCGGCCTCTTTTCCCAGGCAACAAACATCAGGAAATGGCTTTTAGCTGCACCAGGGGAGGTTTAGGTTGGACGTTAGGCAGAATTTCTTCACAGAGTTATTAAACATTAGAATAGGCTGCCCAGGAAGGTGGTGGAGTCACCATCCCTGGAGGTGTTTAAGGAAAGACGAGATGTGGCACTCAGTGCCATGGTCTCGTTGACATAGTGGTGTTTCATCACAGGTTGGACTTGATGATCTCAGAGGTCTTTTCCAACATAATTGAGCCAGTGATTCTGTGAAACCTAGCAGGCATAAACCATTTCAGCTCAGTAAGGAATTGGGGCTGGCAAAGAAAGGTTTACAGAAGCCAGATTTGGTAGGTAAGAAATTAACATGAGGTTCCCGAGGGCCTGTGGTATTACATCATTATTTCAAACAATATAAATGCAAACACATGTATATATTACTTCATGAGGTGGTTATTTCCTCCCCGAGCCACTAAACGTAAGTGTACAAACATATCTACCAAGAATATAGGGTCAAGGAGTGAACTACTTGATAATTGGTCACCTGCCTGGTTTTCATTTAATCAGTTTGGAGCACTTTGGGATCACACTTCATTTGTAAGATGTGAGCAGTGGATTTCAGTTGAGGATCAGGAGTAAGAAGTATTGAAGTCACTAAAGAGTGATTCCCTGAGCCACGAAACCTTTTCTTTTCACCTGAGGACGCAGTGAAATAATACGTTTTTTGACTTCTCTATTCTCATGAGTGTAATTAAAGTCAGTAGAAGATGTTTTAACAAGGAAAATAAGTTAAGTACTGTGTATTAAACCAAGAAATTGTATTATATACATGGTTAAATTATCACAGTTAATCACAGGAAGTTGTGACATTTGAATAATCAATTTATGCCATATCTATCAAATATAAATTGGAGACAAGACTAGAAAAACAGGGTCAAGAACTAGAATCCAAAATCCATCATAGACATCTGAATATGGCTACTACCTTGTAATCATACCAACGTAAGTAGATCTGTGCATCAGCACAAAGTGTGGTGAAGGTGTGTGTGACATTTTTGACTGCTAGTTTGCAATATAGTAATTAAAAATTATAATGCATCACACAGGTACAGAAATGGCTTACCTGAACTCCAAGCCACAGGCACTATGTCAGTTACTTGCTTCTTATTTCCAGCTGAAATGGATATGGAGAAGAAACTTTTTACAGCAGTGGTGGATACATCTTGAGGGAAAGAGAAACACTGAAATCGGCACAGTTACTGGAAAGTGCCACTAAAATCTTGATGTCTCCTACTACCTCCCAGTGACCTCTTGGCAGCTGGGTACTGTAAAGTGTTCTGCTTTTACACTCCACTATCTTAACAAGCATAGTCTGAAATACTGTCATCAATAATTAAAATTAAGTGACATCTGTCATAGTCATTGAGTGCTATGAATTTTTCTTCCTTTCTCCAAGCTCATTGTTCACTAGCCTCATTCATAAAATGTGAGTATTTGACATAGCTCTTTCACACATTTGTGAGGTTTTACTCATGCAGTGAAAGCTTTTTTTTTATTATTTTTTTTGGGGGGGGAGGGGAAGCATATTTAACGTATATCTCGTTCTGCATGAGAAATCTTGTTGCATCAATTTAAGCCTATGTGAGGTTGTGTTACCAAAGGTTGTCAAAAAAAAATATAATATAGAGATCTGTGTATATAGAGAGAGTGTGCTCTTTTTTGTTGTGGGGGAAAAAAAATCCCACTTTCCTAATGAATAAAAGTGTGTGTATCTCCTTGCAGCTTAAGAACTCAACACCGAGCCAATGTTGTTTATTAAGTTAAGAAATGTAGTGGTAGAAGCCTGTGATGTTGGAGGGTTTCTCTGTGGAGCTGTAGCCTCAAGGAGGAGGGAGTTTGCATTCCCTTGTCATGGCACGAGCAGCTGGATCAATGGCTAATTGTGGCGAGGCTGCGTTCCAGGGACTTGCAGCAAACTCCTTGTGCTGCAGTTGTGAGTCCTACTTTCAAATCAAGAGGGATAAATAATGGAGGAGATTGAATGAATAACAAAGTTAGTTCAGTTTTTAATAGTAATATAAATTGCCCGAGAAATTTTCACAGTGTTTTATGAGACAGGGATCTAAAATGAAACAAAATAAATGTGCAAAATCTGAGAAGTTTCCTAAGAATTTCCCATTGGTGTAGCAAGAGTATTGAAAATAAAAGTGGAAAAAAGACTCCTTTTAAAAGTCCTTTGAACACAGTGAGCATTTTTATCTCAGAAAGACTATGTCTCATTAGTGAGTTTTTTCAAAATATCTAATGTATCACATCAATGCAACTAACAAAGGGAAGTGACTTTATGTTATAGTTCATCTTTCATTCTTGTTAGAGCTGTGAGAAAGGGAAAATCAATAATAGTGATTTCAATGAAAATATCAAGATTTGTGAGAGGATGGAAGTTATTATAAATAATGAAATTAGTTTGACAAATACTAAATTTTTTCCAGTATGTTTCAAAATGCTCTGTGATATTTTCAAAGTGAACTGTCTTGGGCTTTTTTCCCCCAAACTACATTTTCATTTCAAAATTGATTTCTTTTTAACCACTGAAAAAGAAGGAAGCCAAACACACAAACACACACACACACACACTCTCTCTCTCTCTCTCTCTCATAATTTGTCTCCAGTGAAAACATGTGTGTATGCATTTTAATCACCTGAGACCAGGTGAAAAGGCAAATTCTCTGAGCCATATTTTCCTTGGGTATTTTATTTTAAAAAATGGTGTGAGTACAAACTCTAAAACTCAGTACAAATATATAGTACTTTAAAACATGTTTTCTCCCGGGGAAGGAGCACTTCAATAAAGAGTGGGTGTAACTACACATGCGTTGTTGAGAATTTCTGGAGAGGGTGGCTCAGCAATGCTCAGGGACGTGCAGAGAGATACTGAGGGATGTAACTGGGGTACCTGAGATCTTCTAGCCAGCCTTGCCTCTTACTGCACCATGTATTATCCTGGGGATAACTATGGAACCACTGAATTCAGCAGCTAGGTGAACTATATAAATGAGAATTTAGATGTTTAATGTAAGATGCAATTATAAACACAACCCTGTGGACCCAAACAAAAATCAACTGACACACTGTTATAAAATTTAAATATGAAAGTGCATTTTTTTAGCAACAGTTTCCCACCTTCTTCCCTCCCAGAAATCCTACTGATCTATATCTTCTCCTAAGAAGCCTTGAAGTGTTTACTAAAGTGGAGCACTACATGATAGCAGATAGTTTATACAAGTTAACAAGAAGAGATATGTGTTCTTTTGCCTTCTTTGGGCCTTTAGTAAAAACTCAGAGGATATCTGAAATATTAACTTAATGGACAATAATTTTTTCCATCCATAGGGAAATCCAGGCATCACGTGTATATTTTTGCTGTTATTAATAGCATTTTGATAGCACAGTTATAGAGCTTGTCCTTGGCTTGTCTTGAAATATCATACTGACTTCACTTATTATAGAATGTTACTTTAATTTTCCAAGGTGAAATGCTTGCAGAGCAGAAACTGGTGAGGAAAATATGGCCAAAACAGTTACATATACCTTTATTTTTAAAGTGCTGTCCAGAAGGGTTTGCAGCAATTTTTGCTGATGCATAAATTGACCTAGACAGTAAATGATACATGGCCTTAGAAATACCTGAAGCAGCCTTGCTTGGGAATTTTTAGTAGAGAGTTATTAAATGTCAGAGTAATTTACACAAGCATAGTCTAGTTTATGCTTTTGCATTCTCCTTCCCTCTTTCTCTCCACTGTGCCAACCGAGAACTAAAGGAGCTTTAAAAATATTTTACATATATCTCTTTCCTTTTTTTTTTTCTCCTTTTCATAGAGGTTCAGATGTTTTATTTATCACACTCAGAAAACCTCATTGAATGTGGGACTGTATCTCACAAAGACCCGATCCACCAGAGCACTTAAGTACCTGCATAACTTCATCGTGATGACATTTTCCGTTGATCATTAACTGGCATTTAAAGAAA